AACAGCCAGCAGACACCCCTCGTGATATATCCCAAGCTAACATCTGCCACAAGGGGAAGAAATTTTGAGGGAGTGCCATTTTGTCATGTTTCCATATGGATGAGGGTTTCTTTGAGCTTCATTGCTGGCAGAGGACACAATCCTTTTGCTAGGAAGCAAGTTATTCAGATCATCATGAGTCAAACACGAGGCAGAATTCAAATACTGGATTTTTGCCTACTTTAGGTTAGGCGAAAGAATCATTGTCTGAACAGCTTGCTGGTACTGACATAAAGATGCACAGATATTGATGTTTATTGTCTCTGTGATTCTCTATGGTGGTGCGTGGTGTCATTACAAACAGAAGGATTTTTCTGGTTAGATGGTTGAATTTGTGTATTGTAATTGCTGGGATAAAATATAATGACTAGATAAAAATCTTTCTGGCAATGTGCCTTGTGTTCTGATGTACTCCAGCTGCTAAGAACTGGAAAAAATTATTTCTAATGTGATCAGTATCCTAAAGGCTATTTCACATGCATTGTTAGATTCCAAGTGTGGATGACTTTTATTTTTTGTAAAGTCAGCTTAAAACAAATTGTGCTACTCTTTGACCTTTTCGTTCCTGCATGAAATGTCTTTTTCATGTAGTGCTTCTCTTCGTTCATAGACATATTATTAGATTCCAGGGAATAGGGGGAAAAGGGAATCAGCTGTTTCAGCCATGATTAAAGACAGAAATTTTCTTTCACAGTTGTATAATTTGAAAAAGTTGTTCCTTTATTGTTTCCAGATGGAAACAAAATTCTATATTGCATTTTTCCTTCTAACTGAAATATGTAGTTACATATAGTAATGCAAAGCACTCTGTAAAAAAATAAATAAATAAATTCTATATATTGATAAAAACCAACAGGAAACAGATGCTAAGCTGAGAATGTTGAGACACTGAAAAGTACAATTATGCATTAGCCATGATGTCCTTCAAGTTCTCTCTGGGATATTAACTAATAGTTTTATTAAGTGATGAAATCTAGTATTCTGTGTGCAGTCTGTGGTGTGGGAAAATCTGTCAGCATTGGCTAAGTATGACTTGAGTGCGTAGCTGTACTTTAATCAAACCTATGTGGTAAAGTACTTCAGTGTAGTTTTAGGTGTAGGGAGGATAAAAGGTAAGACTGGAATAATCTTACCTGAAAGCTCTGGGTTGGAATGTGATATCTATATCTGAACACTTTAAAAAGTTTGAAAGATTGATTTATCCAGATTTGTAATGTAATTACCCAAAACTTTTGGTTAGTTCATTATTCTGTTTCCTTCTGAACAGCTCACTTCGAGTTTCTGGTTATAAAAGGTAAATTTAAGAACACCAGTGGTGCTTAAAAGTGAATGACAAAGAAACAGTGGGTCATCAGGTATTTCTGTCTTGTCTTTGGTTTGTGTTAATAATTTGTGCTCTGCTAAACTCACACAGTCAATAGATCCCGAAGTACTTGGTGGGAAATCAGTTTATCAGTAGGGTCTTTGGTTCAGATTGATGCCTGAAAATAGAGGAATATACTCAATAGACTTCAGTGCTTAAAGCACAGGCAGCATATTTTGTGCAGCCTTAGATACAGAAAGTAAGAGAAGAAAGGGCTTCACAGTAGAAAGAGTTGATCGCAACCTCCTCTTCTTTAGAAGGAGCTTCGAGTGTCCAGAATGTACCTGAAACCTGTGAGCACAGTATCTACGCTGTGTTAGGGCTTCCAGATACGTAACCTGTGTGTTGGACGTGCGTTTCTGATACCTGTGACAAGCAATTTACTTTCTAAAGGACGCATGTTCTTTGATATAGAGGGACTGATGTGCATCTTCCTAAAACAAAATGATGCAGTGGAATTATCAATAATGTTTTTGAGCTTACTTTCATGAATCTTACTGCATACAGGGACTTGCAGTGACAGTTGAAAAGTTCAGTTAATTAATGCCAGGCATTTTGTGTCCTGTTAGTACAGAACCAAGGGAAATTACTTTAAATGACAACAATTGTGTTCTTAAGCCTGAAAGGTATTGACAGCAGTGATTGCAGAAGCCGTGTGTTTTCTTTTTTTTTAAATGGGGGATAACTAGAAGAAGGAGCTCTGGCTAGATTCTCATTTAACTCTGGCTGCTGAACACCGTCGGTGTAGTCCCTCTTACACAAAGTGTAGTTAAGAGCTCCCTCTTGGCCACAGCACGCTGAAGCAGATCAAATGTGAGACCGGTGGGATTCTGCACGTTACCCTAAGATAAGCAACTGGTAGGTTTGGGGTTGAGTGGGTGCTTTTTTGAGATCATCTGGATAGGAAAACACTTTTTAGATTTTCGGACTTGTTTTTTACTTTTCATACTTTGCAGCAAAATTTTCTTTTTTTAAGGCAAAAAAGAGAGGAAGACGAATGAAACTAACATTTTCACATAATTGGAGAATTTCCTCACTTGTGACTTTAAAAACCAAAGCTTTGTGGTAAAACAAAGTAGCTTCTCATTCTTTACTATGTGTGGTGTCTTTCACACAGGTAAATACAAGGTAGTTATGCTTTTTTTTTTTATTAGTTCCTGCCGGCCTGCAACGTGTGGGTAGTGTTGTACACAATTTAAAAGCTTCTATCATGGAAAGAATCAATCCCTATTTTAAGGTTAAAAAGCAACCCTTAAAAATGTAAGTGTTGTTTATTATGAATGTGAAGTTAAATTTTTAAACATAATATTCCCTGTGTTTGTTTGGGATAGAAATCTGGTTTTTTCCTATCAAATGATTCTCAGCCTTACAAAAGCTAGAATAAAATAACACTTTTGTAGCTAGAAATTCTAATAAATAGCTTATTACCTTGAAAAAGAATTCACAAAGTGGTCACATATTGAAGAGACCGTTATTCAGAAGATGCCAAATTTGAGAGGATTGAGAAAGAATTAATTTTTTTCTATGTTGTAGGGCAAGTTATTTTTAAGAACTTGGCAGATTCAGAAAGATGTTATGGAGCTCGACTTTTATTGGTTTCTTGTATCATAAATCTGTTTTTGAAGATCGAATTAGGTGCTTTGAACTAAAAGATAAGCAGAATAATAGGCTTGTGGTACATAGCTTAGGTTCTAGCCCTTTTGCCATTTCTCATATTTAAGAAACGTATTTTATTAATGATAAGCAAAAAAATATCAACAATGACCACTGGTATGCTTCATATAAACTATGTTTACGGTATTTTTTACAGCTTGAGAGAGAAGGAAAGTTTTCCTCATTTTGGTACTCTATTTTACAGAACATGTTCTACGCTGTTTCATTTTGAAAATATGTTCTAGCTGAACATCTAAAATTATTAAGGGTATGGGCAAATGGTTCCATTTGACTTGGCCACATAACATTTGTGTGGCTGCACAGTGGCCTTTTCTTTACTCTTCCATTCATGAAGCCGGCTACCGCCAGGTTCAATGCACACAGCCTTTCTGTGCATCAAACTGTGTGCCCTCCATTAGCAGTCTAGTTATTACTGTAATGCTTGGTTTACATACCTGAGAGAGAGTAGATATTCCACTGAAGAATGGAACCGCTTCTCTTGGACATTTATGTAATAGGATCTTAGGCAGAAACTTTCAAAACTGCTTTCAAAACTGATTTGAGAGAGTTCAGGTTTTATACACATATGTTTGTCAGATGAAAGGTCTGTGTTGAGAGCATTTTTTTCTTCATGCTCTAAAAATCAGTGCTTTTAAAAGGCGAGTACCTGAAAGTTAAAAGGCACGAGGGCGTTTAGCTTCTCTTTGAACAATGTGTTTGTAGAAATACAGAGGGAAAACCTAGATGCGTGACTAATATTGCTGACTAATGATCTGGAAAGAGTTTGTAAATAGTCGCAACTTAACAACTAAATCTGGCAGCAGTATGTGTTGTCAGACAGAGTATCTATGCTGTCAGAGAAAACAGGAGAAATGGTCGGCGTGAGCCTGACTGGAGCGTGCAGGATGCTCATACATGGTGGGAGAGCGGGCAGCCCGTGCGCTGTATACCCGCTGCACGGGGGCAAGGGAAAACCTTAAATGAAAAGCTGGTTGGGTGCGTAATAACGCTGCTTTGTCCAAGTTCCCTTATTTTTTGCAGGGTAAAGATTAACAGGCCATATTGCACCATATTGCACACAATCTAGGTGCTGTTTTGTCTCAACTTTTAAAAATATTTGAACTTTCTTGCCAGACTGTATGTCCTTAATTGTGTAAATAATAAAAATGAAAGACATGTGACCATCATAGTCTCTTCCCCATCTGTTGTTCCATCACTGTGCCAAGCCTCAATCAGGGGTTTGGTTTGGCTTTGATTTGGGGGTTTGTTTGCATTTTGCTATTACCTTTACTTTCTGACCTTCTGACTTTGTACAAAATGTTATACATCTTCTGCCCCTCTTCAAGCTATCACTCTGGTTTTAGCTGCCCCCTGATTAATTCTATCCATTTTATGGCCAAACACTTTTAATTCCTGGAGTCTTTATCTTTGAAATAATACAGGGAACACATTTCAGACCAGTATTGGAACAGGTTTACAAATAGCCAGGTATACCTTAAGTAGCAAATGGCCGACTTTAAGGATACTCCAATTAGACACATTCTCATATTGGTATCTCAGAACTTACTTGACTCTGACAAGAAAGCAGCTAGCCCTTGTCATCTTCTGAAACTGAAAAAAGCCACTGTCTGAAAGCACCAACTTTCACAGTACTTTGCCTCCTAAATTTTCTCTTAATTGGATAACCGATACTATGTGGGGAATGTCATCCCTATCTCAAAGGAAATGCAATCCCATAGCTTTCTTCTTACTTTCTTTAAAAACAAAATTGCTCCCAAATATTTTTACCTGTCCTTAAGGTTTCAAACTGAGCCACCGCAACTTAGTATTGTTTGGGTTTCAGAAGTATTACTACAGATACTTACCCCATGTATTAATTTAAAGGAATTTTGTGTATTGTTTTCATAATGCGTTAAAGCTTTTTTTCTTTTTGAATAACTCTTAGGAAATGGCGAAGATTCTCAATCATCCTAGAGTATATGCTTTTCTGCACATACCAGTCCAGTCAGCCTCTGACAGCGTGCTCATGGACATGAAAAGAGAATACTGCGTGGCAGACTTCAAACAAGTAGTGGATTTCCTTAAAGAAAAGTAAGTCTACTACTATTTGAGAAAATAACAGTGTTGGGTTTTTTTGCAATGTCAAGAACATGTGGCTGAAAATACAATTACTTGCAACTTCATAATTAAGGTATGAAAAAGAATGAGCTGCTTTAAGCTTTCAAAGTCTTTGAGTTTTCTGTAAGCCCCTTGATGTGGTTTGCCCCTTTGCTTGAGCTTTTATAAGCATCTTGAATCTCTGCATGACATGCTTTTAATTTGTCAATATATTCCTAATCTTTTTCAAATAATACATTCTTAAATTATTTTTTTATGCTTAAACTACTATATGTAGACTGCTTGAAGTTAAAGCTATTGAAGTCTTCTTTAATGTGGCTTTTGAGCATTGTATACTTTGTATATTGGAGATGCAGCTCCAGCAAATGTGAATGGGTGGGTTTGGGGTTTTTGTTTGTTTTCTTTTTTTTTTTTTTAAGAAGTATTTTATGTCCTATAGCTGGTGTACATTTACATCTATATGGTAATAGTCTAATCTTGCTTATCAGACTGATGATTTCTAGGGTAATTTCAAAATTATTTCCCTTAACAACAGAGCTAATTGTGAGAAATAAGAGTGCATTGTAATGTGTTTACTTATGCTGACCTGAAGATGAAAGTTACGTTCACCTGCAAAGCTTTTGTAACTACAAGTAATAATTTAATATCCAAGGAAGTATTTTCTTAGCTTTTAAAATTTAATAGTGACATATTTTGATGGATATTTCTGCACAGTTTGTCCTAAAAATAGGTGTCACAAGAATTTATTTCTGTCACCTTGTTTGGCTGCTTTGTCTCTTTATCTGCTGTTTTTGTTGTTTGTGTGCTTGTTTTAATGAATTAAGGGCAGTGGAGTTGTACTTTTGACTCTTAAATTGCATTAAAATACTTGCACATAAAAGAATCAAATTTTCGTAATAATTTTCATAATCAGTTTTTCATGATCATTGAAAAAATCCAGCAGTCTAGCTGTGTAAAACATGTCATGCCAGAGCTGCATGGGAATTATGATGTGTAAGAAAGAAAAGTGATCTGTGACACAATAGAATCTATTTTGCCAACTGTATATGTATAGTTTATGGGACATTCCTATGTATCTAGGACAACTGATGGAAATGGAGATGCTTGTCTTCATACTGGGTGTTAATTTTCCACCCTAAACAGTGCACATGGATTCTTGGCACTTAATTTTCATGTGACTATACGTCAGTGTTAGTTTTAATTAAGAGATATATTGTATTCCCCTGTATCTTAAGTGGGAACTGTGTCAGTTTATATCTTGGTTGACTTGAACCTGATTCATTATTCTCTTCAGTAGTTTTAGCATTGGCAGCTATTATCATAACAGCAGCTGGATTTTCGATAACCTAGTATAGCTGGCACATGTTGGGGCATATGGGAATTTATTAAATCATTGAGCTCTTGAACATAGAAAAGAGTGGATTACTTAATATCCAAATTTAAAACAGCTGGTCATTGAATATACAGTAATCCATGACATACGTCTTTTTCCACAGGCTTTTTTTGTAGTGAACCTAAGAAGGAAAAAATAATTGGTTTGATGTCTTAATTTTAAATACTAATAAACTTTATTTATCCTGCTTATTAAGAAACTACCAAATTATCTGGTAGTTCCTGTTAGAAAGTCTCCAAATATTAAGATGGAAAATTCTTTGTACTATATGGCAGTAGGACGAGGAAGCTATGCAAGGCAGAGAAAATGTTTTGGATATTTGAACATGTGCACATCTGTAAAACTAATACATTTTTTTTCTTTTGCACTTAAGAGCATAGTGTCTTCATTTGTAGTCTCTCCTCTTATGGCGGCAGCCAGCTGTTACATTCCCATGTAGATATTCCCATAAAGATCTAGCACAAAGTTTGCCAGGGTTTAACATTGCTGCAGACAACTCCAGAGCCTAGAGCCAGAATAGCTAAAATTAAATATGTGTTTGAACTACTATAATAGCCAAAAGGGATTATTTCCATCCTCCGTTTATCAAAAAGGAAAAATGAAACAAAAGTAGAACCCCTTATATCGCCTTTCTCTATTCTTAGGGCCTTAAAGTGATCTAGAAGCTTCCTATGCAAAATGTATAGTGTCTTATCAGTAGATTCCAAATGGCACCACCGTCTCTAAAAAGTGACACCTGCTCTGATGCCTTCACCTAAAACTGTATTAAAGCAATAATTGTATAGGCTGACCTGCTGAAGAAGTGAAGCCACACATCAAGGAATTAACATGGTTATCAGTTAATTGCTTGATAACTTGAGTTCAAACATCTAAGCAAATAAAGATGAAGTACAGCAAGTAAAAAATGAAGGGAAAAAGGAAAAGAATGAGCCATGTCATCTTTTTGGTTTTGGAACCCCAAAGATACCAAGTGATTTCTGACACTTTTTTTTTTTTTTTTCTCAATCAGGCCAACAAAACACTCTGGGACTTTTTTCCCCCAGAAGAAAGAGCAAAAGCCTTTCCTTCCTCTGGAGAGCCAGGAGTGATTGCAGCAGGAGTGATTGCAGACATATCCCCTTCTGAGAGTGGGGATTTATTCACATCCTGCTGAGCACAGAATGCCTTGCAGAGGAGCTGGAGTTCTCCAAAGCAACTACTTTTTTGTGTTGAAACTCACTTTTTAAAAGAATGGAGCATTCTAGACCCTCTGAGACCGTGATGTTAGACGTGCCACTTTTTTCTTCTCTTTGAGGACTCTTTCTTCAGGCAGGAACCCTAGAAATTAACTTTAAAACATAATACTGATGTTCTAGTGCAGTTTTTTGGTATGCGTTGGTTTTTAGAGCACTTTCCCTAGCCAGGTGACAGTCTTGGCTTATTATGAAGATCAATAGCAAAATGTATAGAATATAAAGCCAGAAACAGAAGTCTGTTAGGCTGAAAAACTGAACTACAGAAGTCTTGTTTTATACTTTTTATAGAAATCCCTTCTTTGATATTTTACACTTCTTTTGCACTGAAATTTCAGTAAATTCAAGTATTTAGAAAGATACTGTTGTGCTGTTGATAGGTCAGTAGCTGATCTACAGATATGTGTATATATATATTTACTGAGGATTTATTTGTAAACTATTCTAGAGGGCAGCAGCATAAAGGAAATGAGGATGTGCTGATTAATTTAGAAGGTGGGCTCTTCTGCCAAGTAACAAGCGCCAAGGGAGGTTCAGATTGGATATTGGGATAACATTCTTCATTGAAAGGGTCATCAAGCTTTGGAACGGGCTGCCCAGGGAAGTGGTTGAGTCCCCATCCCTGGGGGTATTTAAAAGACGGGTAAATGTAGTGCTTAGGGACATGGTTTAGTGGTGGGCTTGCCAGTGTTAGGTTAATGGTTGGACCTGATAATCTTAAAGGTCCTTTCCAACCTAAATGATTCCATGATTCTAACTTTTACATAGTCTGTAGGGACTAGCGCCCTAGTCTGTAGTCTTTAGGGACTAATACAGTAGTCTGGAGGGACTATTCTCAAGACTGATTCCTGGATGAGATATTAATTTAAATGTGTTTGCAACTAAATACAGGAGCTTTAGAAATTGCTGCTTAGTAAATTTAATCCAGAGACCAATTTAGTCTTACATCAGAAAATCTTCTAATTGCGGTGTCATTATATCAAAATGGGAGTTGTTTTTCAAGTGATCTCAACTTTCAAGATTCAGCATAAATTACATTTCTGAAAGGTGATGTTTGTAGTTGCAAAAAGAGCAAGACTGCTTTAATTATCTTGAAGTTTTGAAACTTAATCCCCTGAAATTTACTTTTGCTGATAAAAGCAAACAATTGGACTACATTTTAGTTAAAGAAACCCGAGATCTGAATGTCATGTTCTGTAATTGCTTGAATAATCGTCAATGTGAATATATACCCATTAAAAAAATCCTTAGACTAGTAATGTGTTTTCCAAATTTCTTGTTTGCTGTTGTTGACCATCCTGCATTCTCTTACCTGTCCGGTTTGTGAAGCGATTATCATGTTCATCCAAGTTTGTATTAATATTTCCCTTTTACTGCTTCTGGATAAGAGAATTGTAAAACCAAAAAGTAGACAAATAAAAACAAGTAGAGAGATGTAGAGCGAGGCTGCAACACTATACCTTTCTGTTTTGGGAAATAGCATAATGCTGAGGAAAAGCCGGATTTGCTTCACTGTTTGTTTTTGTTTGTGTTCTGAGATAGAAGCATAATATTAATTGTGGGTGGCTGCTGCTGTTCACTTGAGATTCTCATAATTCATACTGGAAACATCCGAGCTTTCCAATATCGTCTGAAAGCCAGCAAACTTGGGCTGCCAGAGGGGAGAGCCGCAGCTCTGTCAGGCAGAAAGTTCTGTTCTTTTTCACACAATTTCTCTCTTCTCTGTTAAAATCAGACCTACTAGGAAGGCTGTACTAAGCCTCCGTTACTTTTAGCGGTGATCAAGTATCAGTTTTTCAGCACACGTAGATGCATAATCACGTGCAGTTGGAAAAAGAAAGTGAAGGACCAAAAAGCAAATGGGTGTGGTGGAAAATGAATTGCAAGCTGGGAAGGAGATCAATCTCTCAGGTGTAAGCTCGAACCTTAGTTGCTCAGCGAACACAGACAACTGCTGAACTTCTGAAGAAACTGGAGATACTGTCCAAACTGAGAGAAGGTGCTATATAGTCCTCTGGGACAGCTAGCGTCAGGGAGGCTCCCTTCTTCCCCGTTGCTTTCCAAGGAGTTAAGCCAACAAATGGTAGCTTCAGCAGCTTCCTAGGCCACCTCTTAATTCTGTATTTCATTTTTTTTTGTTCAGCAGTGATTGTCTTCTGTTTCCTCTGCTCTGTCCTGACTTTTGTCTCTCTTGTTGCAGGGGCAGCCAGGCTGCATCTGCTTGGATGTTCAGACAGTCTGCTTCAGGGTAAAATAGGGTGGCTTGGAGCAAAACATGGTTTAATTGTGGGATATGGCAGTGTTAGGTTAACAGTTGGGCTTGATGATCTTAAAGGTGTTTTCCAACC